GACTTTTTTTTAAAGCAAATTTTACAATAATGGTTGTACAAACTATATAAGTACAAAATTTATTTTAAAAACAGCTTGGAAGCGATCACCTCATTCCCAGGGGTTATTATCAACAATGTATTCATTTATACCATAATAACCCTTTTTATACAGTTTCAACTTAACAAAATATTTAAACTTGCTAATAGACAGAAATGTATACGCTATTACAACAAAGTCCCGGAAAGTGTACAGGCACTTTCCGGGACCTTGTTGTAATAGCGTATACATTGCCCCAAGAATGAATTACTGACTCTGTGGAGTCGAGAAACTGGTATCACTAGCTTGTGTTTGTTCCTAGTGTTTACAGAATGCACATCACTTTTTTTACTAAAACTACCTTTGTTTTTGTGAACATACATTAAATTTTCGTAAATATACTGAGAGGCCAAAGTTAATATATTTATTTCTTTAAATTTATCTCTAAGAGACTCTCTCGGTTTTAGGTTGTAAATAGATCTAATGGCCCTCTTCTGTAAAACAAAAATAGTTTCTGAATCAGCCGCATTTCCCCATAGCAAAATCCCATAAGACATTATGCTATGGAAATAACTGAAATAAACTAATCTAGCTGTCTCGACACTAGTGAGGCCTCTATTCTTTTTTACAGCATAAGCTGCAGAACTTAGTCTGCTTGCTAGTTTGGATATATGGGGCCCCCACTGAAGCTTTGCGTCGAGAGTGATGCCAAGAAAAACAGTGGATTCAACAGGGCTCAGTTCAAGCAGCAGAGGCTTTCTTGATACTATAAGTATATTAAGTGACTTTACGGTTTGACCACTGTAACGACTAAAAATGGGCCCAAATAGGACGATGGTTACTGAAGGTCTTATTTACCAAGCAGACATGTGGGGAGTGGTATTTGAAAAAGATTAAAAAAACTTTACGATTTTGAAATTAATACAATTTACATCAAATCATTTACATGGCAAGTCTATACAAAAATGTTTATAGTTCCGTTCCAGTTCAGAGCATTGCAACCTTCATATGTATATATATGACCGTAACGAACCTTTCCGTAAACCATCTCTGACCTAAACTATCCTGAGGGTCGCCCGCTTAAAACAAGAGCACCACGAATTAACTGTAGGCCAACAATAGTAACTAACTAAAAAATAAGTGAAAATGGTATATCAGGATCGGTCTCTTGGCGATAAATCCTCTCTGCCTACTCCGCAAAGGTAAACGTAAAGCTACCCTTTTTACTAGAAACGAGGCATTCCATATTAGCCCTCTTAGAGATTAGATGTAGATGTCTAGAGGCTTCAGCATCCATTTACCATCAAGTGGACTGTCTGTTCGTTTGTCACCCTCATTCTATAAAAAATACTTAAATAGAGAAAATTTAAGCCATCATAAGTTGTATAAATAAATTGTATTTAAAAAGTTTACTTGGTATTCTCTAGGTAAAAAAAGTACAAGCACTATAATTATAATGTAGTGACTAAATTAGTCCTTGTAAATAACAAAAAAAAAATAAAAATTTTTTGTATGTACCAAGATTTTCTACACTCATCAATTTTTGTTGCACGACAACGTATCGTGTCACTGATGTTATTAGCGAAGTTATGATACGGGTGGAAAATCAAAAAGAAAAAAAATACTTATAAGTAGATATGTTTTCGAGCACAGAAATGAAACATTTATAAATATAAAAATCAGGCTTCAGACTAAACAAAAATGTATATATTCTAAAATATATATTCTAATATGTTTCCCATAGTCAACGGCATTTCATACTTAATAACATGTAAGAAATTGGATTACAGGAGAATTTCGAACAAATAATACATTATTCTAATGGGTAAGGAGACTGCGAAACTGAAAAATGGTGGGTTCGAAACAGTGGTACATAAATAAGTACCTATTATTTTAGCTGAAAATACGAAGGCTAGTTTTTTAACATAAAAATGAAAATAATTCCATCTAGTAAACACAACTGAAACTAAAGTGATACGCTGTTGTAATGGGAAACAAATAGAGACTGAGCACCACAAATTATAAAGTTGCACATTGCAAAAAAGCTTACAGCCGTTATTAATGTTATAAACGCCCTCTATTTTTGAATAGGCGAAACGTAACAATTCTTAAGGTTTGTGTTTTTACCGGAATATAATGTTACTAATACCTTGTAGCTACGAAAAAATATTTAAATCACCATTATCATCATTACTGCCCTTCACAAGTCCACTGCTGAACATAGGCCTCCCCCAAGGAATGCCACAAAGCACAGTCCCGAGCAATGACACTAATTAAAATAATTATAGCTATAAAAGTAAGGTAAAGTTCAGCCTTTATAAGTTCCAGAAGTGGGACACGGGGGTACAAGCCATTTCTCAGAGGAGTAGAGCCGAAGTAGTTTATGGACTAAGCGCTTGTTAAATAAATTTCTCTCGCTTGATTGATACATTTCAGAGTACCTACGCGAGTATAATGGGTACGATTACCGTCAATAACCTAACCCGTAAACCGTAAATAAACGCGATGAAGATGAGATAGTGAAAACGTTAATAGAATTTCCCCAGTAGTCTACAACACCTACGGAACAGAGCAAGGTGGTTACTGCAAATTTCCATATAATGGGCGTTTTTCCACCCTACCTTGAAAATCCAGAATACAAACTAAAAAACGTTCCAGTGACGTTAACGGCGGCTTATACCATTATTGTCTCTTGTAAAATTAACTTTAAAAAGTCAAATTACTATATTTAAATCCGAAAAAAATATATGTCATAAACACATTCTTTATTGAGTGATATTAAAGGTTCAAAACACGATACATTGTACTTTGTGCGATCGAAAAAAAAACCAAAGCAGTGTCGATTTTAAAACCCTTTTCCGTTTTACATCGTATTACAGCACGAAATTATATTGAAATTACATGTAAGGTAATCGTATTACGAAGTGATTTTAATGGATATTTTTTTGAAAAATCGGTAGTTTTGTTAACAATTAGAAATAAAAATAGTAAAACGGCTTACACGGAGACGCGCGCCTTGCACTTAGTGTCCAGGTGTTCAGCCAGATGGTTGGACCTGTGTCAAGTTTTTCTAGATACGCTCCCTGCGCTTTTGAAAATGACATATAAAAAGATATCAAATAAATATAATAAATATATCAAATAAAGGTAACAAAAAAAACAAAAACAATAACATATTCTAAGTAAATCAGTACGACCATTATTGTTTCCCAAAATGTATTTCTATGAAGATTTAGAAGCGTTGAAGTCTCCCAATAACACCGTATAGTGGGTTTTGGAGGAATGTATGGCTTTAGAGATATCCTCATACATTTCGTCCATACGATACGTTTTGCCAGCAACGCAAATTTCAACAGTTCTTTGCGGTGAAAATTTTGGTAGCAACTAATTTTTAAACTTGGTACTTAATTACTTAGCACCTAAAAAGTTTTGTAACTTTTGTCATGGGGGGTATATTGCCATAGTTGCTACGCTTGGCGAGCGGGTTGGCAACCGCAGTTTTTTTATTGCTTTTGATGTTATCAGAAAGATGCTGCTGCCCATCTTCTGTCACAGTTTCCCTCTATGGCCTCTTACGACACCCACGGGAAGATATGGGGTAGTGGGTATTCTTACCGCCACTACGCGGGGCATCACCTTATTGCGTGTTAATCCGGGTTTCGCTGTAGTCTGCGGAGCTCGACTACCCTTTGAACATGACGTTTTTCGCACGTTATTGTCTTAGGTGACCCATTTTTCATCACCAGTCAAAAATGGTTCGGTTTCATTACGTTTCAATAGGTATCTTTCAGTGAGCTCGTGTGGTACCCAAACATCGAGCTATTTTGTATAGTTAGACTTTTTCAAATAGACGAAAACTGTTTTGTGGTCAATCTTCAATTCCCCGGCTCTGTCGTAAATACTAATATGCCGATCTTGCTCCATTTTTTCAAAAATAGCATCGACTATAACCGTTTGAGGGCGACCAGAGTGAGCTGCATCTTTGACACCAAAATTCCCTGACTCAATAGGCTCTAACCATAGAATTATTGAAAAATGGCGGGAAAGTGGTTTTTAATGTTTTTTTTCTTAATGTCCTTTTTGCATTTTTATTCCAACCATCTAATAACAAACTATAAAACCAAAGAGATTTTTCTTCTAATTTATACGAACAAAATAGCAAAGAAACTTTTTCCCCGTCTGATTATTTTTAATTCCCGACGTTTCCCGCATTAAAATCCGTATAATTAGTTTTAGTAAATGTCTAGTATTTGTGTAAATATAGGAAATCATTATATATATGGTGGGATAGTTTTTAAACAAATGATTAAAAAAGTTAATTTCATGTTACTTGATACTGGCAAAAGTACGAACATACTAGTCCATAACCATAACCAAAGAAAAAATAATCTATCAGCTCTAGGGATGGGCAAGGAAAAAAATATACCGATATATATATATATTAAACCGATATTTTTAAAACAGTATCAATATATTTCGCGTGATAAATATCGATATGTCGATATATCGTCATAATTTGCATGCTGTATAGATAAGTTCCAAAATTTTATGTTACTGACGGGTGAACGACGAAAAAAAAACGACAACCAACCACACCTGAATACTTTTGTACTTCCTTTTGTTGTTACATGTTTTATTATTAATACAACATTTTAAAATATATCAAAATTGATACGAATTCGATACTCTAAAATAAATATCGATATATGGCAAAACAAATATCGGCGATATATATTAATATTTTATTAAAAAGTATTGATATTTCGATATGTCGATATTTTTTGCTCAAGCCTAATCAGCTGTCATAGGCAAACTAAATAATATTTTTAGGTTATTTCTTTGCAAAAAAAGGATTATAATAAAAATTGCACAATAATTATTTAATTATATAGTGCTTTTGAAACCATTTTAAAGCCATTTATAGTTTGCTTGTAAATATTTCTATTTGTTTATACATTTTAATTACCCTTTATTTATATATAATGTCCGCAAAAACAGATATTGTTAAACCTAAAACTGTGAGAGTTTATGAGTTAGATGATTTTGAAAAATTATTACGAGGTTTAAAGGTAGCAGTATGTATGCTGACCGAGTCACATCAAGTCGGTATGTAACATTTATTTGCTTGTTAATTATATCCATTTATTTATTACTTCGTACATAATTTTTATTTTTAAGATTTATGTGCTTACTTATGACAAAATTTAAATAACTTTTTATACAAGTTTATAATGTGTTATTCAGGGTGGGATGGAACCATGTAGAGGCCTATGTCTGAGTGTTTAGAGGTATAAAATTATTCTGGGACTGCAGTGATTTAAGAAGCGTAGGCCCTATCCTATAGACAAGTGCCTACTTTGCCCTTTATGTTAATCTGGCATTGATATTGTTTTATGTAATTCTATTTTTATATGTTTCTATGTAGTCAAACTAATAATAATGTATATTTAAAACAAAAATTATTGACTTGACACTAGCAGAATTCTATCAAGAGAAGCCATAATTTAAAAGAAGAAGAAGAAACAAAAATTAAACAATCTCTTGCTGTAGGTACTGTAGATTGCTTTCTATATTTATGTAATAAGTGCTGTTTTACACATGGAAAGTATGGAGAGGTCTAAAAGTCTTATGTTTGTCAAAAATCAAGATATCTTTTATTCTTTAACAGTGGATGAAGCAAGTGTTATTAAACGTCTAAATGCCCTAACCATTGGTGGTCCATCGGACGGCAACTGTTGTTCATGCTGTGGTGTTGGCCCATTTGAGACTCGAGCACAGCAAACTGCACACTACAAGCATCACTGGCATACTCACAATTTAAAAAGAAAACTCTTTGGAAAAACACCTCTGTCATTAGGTCAATTTAATTCTAGGCAAGGTGAGTAAATTTTAAGTAAAGTATTAAAGTATTCTATATAACTCACCCTTACATATAAAAAGAGCCATGTACCACATAAGTAGTAAAAAAGTACAGTAGTAGTAGTATAATATAATATTAAAATTAAAAAACTATAATAAAATAAAACTAAAACTAATAACTTAATTATTATACAGCCCTACTGCCTGTTGTATTGTGCCAAGAATGCTGGCTGCGTTTTATAGCTGAATGTAGTAGTAGTAGTACTTATGTGGCTTACCTGTTAATGTCTATTGTTGATCATAGGCTTCTCTCCATAAAGATGGATTTGTTGTAATTAACACATTCAGCTAGCAGCTAGAGTTTGAGAGATCATTTACTGTTAGACTCCACTTGTAACAGTTGGTGCTCCTTGTCATGCATAGTTGTTCTGCTATTGGAGGGGAAATGAGCAATGGCTCATTACTTAATGAAGTTATTATTTTATTATATATTATATAAATTATAAAAAACATCACAAATATATAAATTACATCCTATCATAATCTGCTGCCGAACATAGGCCTTCCAATTGATTGCGTTATATATATTTGCATGTATAAATGTTTGGCATAGTCGCCATACTTAACTTTTATATATACGTTTTTACTATTATTACTCAGTGGTCCTTATATTGTTTTAGTATTTTATATTATGTATATTTAAAATATAATAAAATGAAAATGAAAAATTGTTTATTTATTTAAAAAGATCATACATTATATAGGTATGGGAGTAAGTGGAACATCCTTTTAAGTAAATATATACTTGTGGCAGGATGCCCCACTCTTCTATACCAAGAATTAAATAAATACAAAATAGATTAATTAAAGAAATACAAGAAACTAAGCTTATATTTATATAATGAGGATTTTATATAAGTGCGATTTTATGTGAGTGCGAGTTAATGGGTGCGTGCGCTCACTCGCGCGATTGTGTGTGTGTGTGTGTGTGTGTGCGTGCGCGAGTGTGCGTGGTGTGTGTGCGCGCGCGTGTGTGTGTGTGTGTGCGTGTGTATATGTACACATGTGTGTGTTTGTATGCATATGTAAAATTTATTTAATAACTTTTAGTAATGCCTCAACTTCATCATACTTGAGTTTCAGTAGCCATTCTGTAACTGTCTTTTTGAACTCATTAGAGTTCAGTGAATAAATGTTTAGTTTTTTGTTGACTACATTGTATAAATAACCAGCCTGTCTTTTAAATTGGTGACTAGCAAAATTTGTCTTGACTAGAGTTAATTCAAAAGCTTTTCCTCGTCTATTACTACTTTTGCAGTCATAGAAAGTTGTTTTATGTTTTGTTAACAACAAATTTAAAATGTATAACTTTCTAACACTTAGTTAACCACTAACTGAGTAAAGTTCTTCTATAGGGAATCTATACGATTTATTTATTGTACATGACCTTTATTAATGATCGTTGACCACATTCTAGTTGTAGTTTAGTTTTCGTAGTAACACCCCAAACTGGTATACAATATGTTAAAATCGATTGGGCTAGTGCAGCATATATTTGATTTAATAGTTTATGAGTTGCGACATGTCTGAGGGTCTTAAAGATCCAAATAAGTTTTTGTAATCTATTATTAGTTGCTTCTATATGTGAATGCCATGTAAGTGTTTGGTCTATTATAACACCCAAATATTTAGTACTAGCTACTTTTTTTTATAGTAGGACACATGCAATTGTTACGCAAACCACAGTAGTGTATTTTGAGATTGTGTGTTATGGGTTGTGACCGTTTGTTAATGGAAAAACATATATATTTTGTCTTAGACGTGTTAAGGGTAAGCAAGTTTATTTCGAGCCAGTTCACAACTTTGGACAGTCCAAATTCGGCTATAATATATATATATAATACTTTTAGTATTATTATATATTATGTAATTTATTATAGTATTATTTACATTAGTTGCACAGCTTATCAGCTGATGTAATATCTTTATCTTTGTTAGTGTTGTTCAATTTGCAGATATAACAACTGGAGTCACTACACTATATTGTGTATTATATTATATTCTGACTTACTAATACCAGATGTCCAATCTTTTTTCAAATATCTTTTATTTTATATTTCTGTTAAAAAACTGTATGATTTCATAACACATCTGTTTTTCAGATGATAACTCAAGTGTTTCTGGCAGTGACTCGGAAGGGGATGATGGTGGAACTAAACCTACTAATGATTTATTTGCGGCTGCTACCAGACATTGCAAAGCATTCTTTACTAATCATTATGGACAAGTGTTTTGTATATATAGATGTATTCTACACCATAGAAAGGTACATGTTGTGTTTATAATCTACATAATTTATCATATACAGGAAAACTGATTAACTGATTAATACAGGATTAATTGTCATAGTTATATAACTACTATGTCAGGGTCCTGTGGTTGAATGTTAAAACTGAAATCCTTACAAAATTAAGTGTGTTTTTGGATACTCCTCATCACTCTGACACTGCTCCCTATGCTACTTCCACTCTTATAGTCTGTGTATATCTTATAGCTTATTAGCATTAATTACATTGAGCATGGTTAAATTAGTGAGTACCTTTATCTAAACTTGTACACTTGAATCAACTTCTTCCTACAAGAGGAGAGGCCCATGTCCAGCAGGGGACTTTTATTTACTTGTGGCGACGTTGTCGTCGCGCCACAAGTAAAACGCATCCAAGCCTAAATCACGCTATCAAAGTTTGGAAGTACTGCAATATATAGAATAGGTCTGAATGGAGCATTGGCCGCTCCCTGGGAAGATCACCTTGCCCGGCGGGAGATCACCGTTTTTCCATTCACGGCTAAAGCGGGGACCAGTCGACATGATTTGAATACGCACAACACGCAACATATAACGTTCGAAAATCTTGAAATTCAAGTTTTCGTCATCATCCTCAAGTACCCCAGCCTTTTGCTCCCGAGCAGTTATTGTCTGAAGTCCTCAGATCTTGCAAGCCATCTAGCTTTACAAAGTTCACGCAGCACTGGAATAATGCTTCCTGTCCCTTTGAGCTACTCCCTGCGCTACAGTGTTCAGCACGGCTCTGAGCCTTACTACTCGCGTCTGCTTCACGCAGATTACTTGCCTTCTTCCCAACTTACCACAGATTACAAGGCAATCCCTGGCTCTTGCACATTCGTCCACAACTAGAATGCACTATCGATCTCCGGTCTGAGCTGGAGGGTCATGTTCGAGGGTTTCGCACAAGTGAAACGCATCGAAATCTAAATCACGCTGTCAAAGTTCTGAATTACTGTGGTATATATAGAATAGGTCCGAATTAACACATGGAGTATTTTCCATTCCTCGGTCTGATCACATTGCCCGAGAGATCTCCCCTTTTCCTTCCACAGCCAAAACTTATTTTTATTATAAATTTACTTAAGAAAACGAAAGATAAAAGATAAAATTATGATGATGATTTTTAATGAAGTTTTTACACAATTCTTTATTTTGTTAGTTATTCTCTCTATAACGCCATTATAAATAGTTTAATAAATAGATTACTCTAATTTTTTTTTAATACAGGAAGAGTTATCAACAGACGGCGATGGCCAAGCTTGGGTTGAACGTTGCCAACGTCTTTCTATCCCGGGATTCCAACGCTGGGCTATCCTAATGATTTCCGGCGGTCACTTCGCCGGAGCAATATTTTCCGGAGGTACAGCTGTCGTTCACAAAACTCATCATTCTTACGTGACCCGGCGTGGTCAGGGACAAGCACAGGCTACAAGGGATCAACATGGAAATGCACCAAGGTCAGCCGGAGCCAGTTTAAGGAGATACAATCAAGCGCAGTTTTTGGAAGTATGTGTTGAATACATTTTAGATAAATATTATATTTTAAAGGAGCTTTTTATCCTAAGCTTGATTCAGATTACTTAGTATCCATGCAAACCAGGTACAGTCTACATTGACACCCTGAGCTATTATTAACTGCAATTTATGGTGGTTATTTATATTGAGGGAGCACCTGTGTGTCTGAGAAATTAGAGATTTTCTGAAGATAAGTGCAGTCCTTCAATTTGCACTGGAATAACACGGCGGCCTCGATAACCCTGTATTGGATGCCTTCTGAATTCTCTTAGTATCCATGACTATCACATAAAATTTTATAAAAAAGAAAAATACAAATTAATAGGTTGTTCGGAAAGTCATTTCGTTTTTTTTTGTGGAAATGTAAGACAGTTTTCGTATAATAAACAAATACTTTATTAAATTATATATTGACCGTTCTGGTCCAACACCTTTTGCCATTTTTCTGTTAGTAGCGTAATTCCACGCTCATAAAATTTTTGGTCTTTGCTGGCAAAAAACTGATCGAGGAGGTTTTTGACCTCCTCATTTGAGGTGAAGGTTTTAAAAAATTCGTCGAGTCGAGAATAGTAGAAGGTCGTCTAAAAAATTTTAGAGTGACCGGAACAAATAATAAACCGATGGTGCCAGGTCTGGAGAATATGGTGGGTGTAGCATTGCATCCCATTCAAGCTGTAAAAGCTTTTGGCGAGTGACCAAACTTGTGTGAGGTTTCACCAAGACAGTGAAACACTACACCTTTCCTGTTGATTAGTTCTGACCTTTTCTGTTGAAGTGCATCATACAGTTTGTCCAGCTGATGATAGTAGACTTCCGAATTAATCGTTGTGTTGTCCGGTAAAAGCTCAAAAAAAAAACGATTCCTTTAAAATCCCACCAAACAGACAGCATCACCTTTTTTTGGTGAATATCGGCTTTGGAAATTGTTTGAGCCGGTTCATCTTTTTTGCTCCATGACCTCTTGCGTTTGACGTTGTTGTATACAACCCATTTTTCGTCCTCAGTGATGATGCGCTTCAAAAACGGATCATTTTCGTGACGTTTGAGAAGCGAATCGCAGATGTCAATGCGGCGACACAGATTTCTCTCTGTGTACATCGAGCTTCGAGGATAATCCCAGGCCTTTCAAGTGGTCATAAACTGTTGAATTTGATAAATTTAACCTCAATCCGATCTCACGTGTTGTTATTCGCCGGTTCACATCAACTAATGCCTTTATCGCGTCTTTATCAGCTTCAATCCTCTGTCGGGAAAAAACGAAATAACTTTCCGAACAACCCAATATTTTTCAATCCCACAAAATAAACTTTAGAAAATTAGAAAATTGCAGAAACCTATCATTAACCACCAACAGACAAATAAATTAATCTACCTACTTGGAAAAACTACATAGTGATCTTGACAACAAAATCTTGTTTCTTTTTAGAAAAAAAACCTGAACATTTAGATTTTTATAATTTTTATTCTAATTATAAAACAAAAAAGTTCTTTTAGTTATTTGACATTCAAAATCGCAACCTTGAAATTCAACCGTAACACTTTCGAGTTTCTGTAAAGCATGAAAACCAATGTTAAATGTTGATATTGGTTAGTATTGTTTGGCTTAAGAGACATCACTTGATGAGTTGCTCGAATAATACACATTTAATAAAACGAATTTCATGTACTGGATCATTTTAGTCTAATTATTTTTTAACACCCTATGTTTCACGTACACAGACATAATATTTAGAAGTGAATTTGGCAATACAATTCTTTCTATTTAACAGTAAAAGGGATTCATATTTATGTACTCTTATATATGTGAAATAGACTGATTTATATTTGATTTTAAAAATAATGACTCTAAATTGTTCTAATGGTTCTTTCTATAGAGGCTTAACTTTTGGTTGGTTGTGTTGGTAGTTAACGTTAAATCGGTTATAGATTTTTATGATCATAAGGATTTTTAAATAAGTTCAAATTTTATTTAATAAAATAATTTAAATGTGATTGCTGAAAGAAAATTTTCGTACATCATTATTCCTCCAATTAATCGTCAATTCTGTAATAATCCATACTAACCAGCATATTCACTTAAGTAAGCGTAATGAGAACGCCTTCTGGCTAGATAGGGCGACGATCTGAGCAAAGCACTAGGCAGCTGGATTCGTAAAGCCCCTGATGATGATAATACTGATTTTTTTTACGGAATAAGGGTGACATAAGAGCACACAGTCCACCTGATGGTAAGTGGTGTGGCCCATAGACATAATATATGTTTATCTTCAATTAAGTATCAAAACACAGATGTGACCCTGAAGACTAATATGTAATGCCTCGTTTCCAGTAAAATGGGTTTCCAGTTCTCTACACTCACCATACCTACAACACAGCAGCATTAAGCTGCTATTTTACACTGGTATTCTGTGAGAGTGTAGTCCTACCTCGGTCAAGCCGACTCATTCGTGCTACAACCATAATATAGCTACAGCGTGGCTCAAAACATACAAATGTATAATGAACCAGAATATATTTAAACATGTTAAACTTTCAACTATAGTCGAAAATCGAAATATTACAGCTTATTTCGATAAAAAAGTTGCTGCTGAACTTCGGTCATAAATCAACACTTCTTCGTGGCATTTCAGCACGTTCAAGAAATAGTCGCGAGTTGGGCTGAGGATTTGATCGGATGCTCACTGGTACTATATCGTGCGGTCGGCGCTTCTAACCAAGCTGCGCTATTCGGGAAGAATTCGCCGTTAAAAAGGGACGACCTCCGTGTTAGGGCGCTGCCTTTCCCAACTAGGAAACCCACATATAAGGAAGTCAAGAGAGTGCACGAGACTGTTGCAAGCATAGAAGTATATGGTAAGTTGGTAAATATAATTCTTCAAGCTTTTTTGCACCATAGCAGAAGCAAAAGAGAGAAATTAAACAATAGATGGACACCAGCATCTTCCTTATAACAAAAGTAATAAAAATCTGCAGTTGCCAACCCGCCTGCCAAGCATGGCACTATAGCAAATATCCTTTAAATCCTTTTAACTGGAAATGAGTTATTCCATCTTAGTCCTCAGGAATGACTTCGCATTTGCATTTTGATTCATAACTGAGGACAGATTTAGATCTCTATGGGCAACAGGTATCCACTTACCTTTAGATGGAGTGTGCTGATTTGTCAACCTTATTTCTGTAAAAAAAATCCATATAAGGGAATATATATGGGGACTAATGTTCAGCAGTGCACTTAATTAGCTTATAAGGCAGCCCATTTGTGTTATGTATACAAAATGCCTATTAGGATAGGTACATACAACTTTCTCAATTACTCATTTCTGCTACTGAAGATCAAATGTATTTACTGTCGTGTTTCATTTTGAGTAGTAGTTATTTGTTTGTTTGTTTTGTATCCAAAAGCTACAGAAGCCATTTGCTATTATAAAGATGCAGTATTAAAAGAAAAATATATTTATTCCATACTGGATTGCAGTATGATGCCGGCAGTTAAGCCAAAAAATATGAAGTTTGTCTATGAATCATTGTTTCGAACACACTTCTTTTCATTTTCAATGTCGTTACCCATTTGGCTAATTGTATTTATACGAGGGCGGCACTGTAAATTTCGGGAATCAAGGAAGTAACACAACATTACTATTTAAAAATGTATTTATTGCTTTTCGAAGTATTCTCCGCGAAATTTGACACATTTTTCCATACGATGGAACCAATCATTGAAGCAACCATTCCATTCGGAAGTTGGGGTCTCCAAAATGGCCGTTTTGTAGGCGTCCACAGCTTCTTCAGGTGATGAAAATCTCTGTCCACGCAATTTATTCTTTATTTTAGGGAAAGTATAGAAATCATTAGGGCTTAGGTCGGGGCTGTACGGCGGATGATCTAATAATTCTATGTTTTCTTGCTCTAAAAACTCTTTTGTTCTGTGTGTGGTGTGAGAACTCACATTGTCGTGATGGAGGATGATGCGGCGGTTGCAGTTCTCTTTACGGAGTTCAGAAACGACCTGTGGCAAACAAATGTTAGCATACCATTCTGTATTAACCGTTCTTCGTCCCTCAAGAGGAATAGTCGTAACATGGCCGGTTTTGGAACCAAACGTGGCCACCATTTTTTTGCAACACTCCGTGAACGAACAATTTTTGTTGGCTTTAACTCATTTTCGAACACCCAAACTCGTGACTGGTTTTTTGTTTCGGGTTCGTACGCGTATATCCAGGATTCGTCACCTGATACGATGTTGTATACAGCATTTGAGGATCCTGCGTGGAATCTTTCGAGAGTTCTGACGCACCAAGTAACGCGAGCCGCTTTTTGCTCTTCACAGAGCGATTGCGGTATCCATCGGGATAACAACTTTTTTACACCTAATTGTTCATGCAAGATTATTTGTATTTGACTCATGCTAATGTCTAAAGTTGCCTGAATTTCGCGGTATGTCACATGTCGATCTTCCTCAATCAGCTTACGCACAGCATCAACGTTTTCTTGGGTGACTGCAGTTTTTGGACGACCTTGACGGGGATCATCACTGAGCTTGACACGTCCACGTTGAAATTCAGCAAACCAGCGATAAATTGTGGTTTTGGATGGGGCTTCATCACCAAATGCAGAAATCAACCGGTCAACACACTGTTTTTGTGTTAAACCACTTCGAAAGTCATAATAAATCATCGCGCTTGAATTTTCTCTAGTCAATTCCATTTTCTCAACGACTAAACAAGTTTGACAAAACCTTGTGACAAGACTGAGAATCTTTTTTTAAATAAATAAATGGTATTCGATTTTTAAAACCAAGGACTTTCCAATTAAAAAGATTTTAATATGACAGGAACAGTGGAAATATTCCATTCCCGATACTTTTAGTGCAGCCTATGTAAGTTATAAATTATATAAGTATAACATTACAATAATAACAATATAAATAATAGAAGTGGTTGCCACTATTTCGGTTCTTAAAGTTTTAGACTTTAAGAACCGAAATAGTGGCAACCACAGCAAAAGCTGCAGCAAGTAGTAACAGTGCAGTGGTACCTAATGTCTCGTATAATAATTAATAATATCATTTATTTGTTTGTGGAAGTCCATTATATTGATGAAGGTTAGTGTAATAAGAAATAAATTAAAAGAAATTTAAATACACCTTACGTTGTTCTCTGTCACCAATGAATTTGTTACCTTCAATTTTAAATGCTGCTTTACCACCTGCTCAAAGGAAAATATTATCGTGATGATAGATAGATTGGTAGTAGTTTAGTTATATCTATAAAACCTGCATGTCAACTTGCATGTCTATGAAATTACTATTACCTAGTACATTTCTTTCACTTCTTTTTCAAAGTATATATATATATATATATTTACGTGTCACATTGTTTGTCCGCGATGAACTCCTAAACTACTGAACTGATTTCAATGAAATTTTTCAAACTGTGCAGTTTGGTCCAACTTGAGAGATAGGATAGTTTTTATCCCGATAAGTGACCCCCCAATATTTTATTATTGTGAATTTAAGAATTTTTTATAGGAAGGGTCTACCGAAAGGGCAGAACAACGTCTGCCTGGCCTGGTAGTATATATATTTATATATGTGTGTTCTTTATAGATACCATGGAGCTTTTCCAAAAGGCTTTAATAGCTTCAACTGCAAAACCGTTGACAAAATCTGGATCGGACTCCAATGTGGAGCGAAGCAAGAAGACGCAGAAGAGTCCAAACAAGCCAATAGATAGAGCTAAATCAAGGTAATTTAATATTTCATAGCATCGTACTTTTAAACAGGTGATGCTAATGTGCCAATGAGGTGAGTGAAGTGACTGGTCTACTCGTGTTTGACTTTCCATGAATTTGTGTGTTAGCATGCCTTACTTATAGATTTAACCATATTAACCAAAGTGAGCAGACAGGTTTAGTAATACCTATTTTCCGACGCACGTATCATATCATAATGCGATTTAACCATATTAACCAAAGTGAGCAGACAGGTTTAATAAAACCTATTTTCCGACGTATATGTCATATCATAATGCGATTTAACCATATTAACCAAAGTGAGCAGACAGGTTTAATAAAACCTATTTTCCGACGCACGTATCATATCATAATGCGATGTAACCATATTACCCAAAGTGAGCAGACAGGTTTAGTAAAACCTATTTTCCGACGCACGTATCATATCATAATGCGATTTAACCATATTACCCAAAGTGAGCAGACAGGTTTAGTAAAACCTATTTTCCGACGCACGTATCATATCATAATGCGATTTAACCATATTACCCAAAGTGAGCAGACTGGTTTAATAAAACCTATTTTCCGACGCACGTATCATATCATAATGCGATTTAACCATATTACCCAAAGTGAGCAGACAGGTTTAATAAAACCTATTTTCCGACGCACGTATCATATCATAATGCGATTTAACCATATTACCCAAAGTGAGCAGACTGGTTTAATAAAACCTATTTTCCGACGCACGTATCATATCATAATGCGATTTAATCATATTAACCAAAGTGAGCAGTCAGGTTTAATAAAACCTATTTTTCGACGTTTGTGTCATATCATAGTGCGATTTAACCATATTAACCAAAGTGAGCAGACAGGTTTAATAAAACCTATTTTTCGACGTATGTGTCATATCATAATGCGATTTAATCATATTAACCAAAGTGAGCAGTCAGGTTTAATAAAACCTATTTTTCGACGTTTGTGTCATATCATAGTGCGATTTAACCATATTAACCAAAGTGAGCAGACAGGTTTAATAAAACCTATTTTCCGACGTACGTGTCATATCATAATGCGATTTAACCATATTAACCAAAGTGAGCAGACAGGTTTAATAAAATCTATTTTTCGACGTATGTGTCATATCATAATGCGATTTAATCATATTAACCAAAGTGAGCAGTCAGGTTTAATAAAACCTATTTTTCGACGTTTGTGTCATATCATAGTGCGATTTAACCATATTAACCAAAGTGAGCAGACAGGTTTAATAAAACCTATTTTTCGACGTTTGTGTCATATCATAGTGCGATTTAACCATATTAACCAAAGTGAGCAGACAGGTTTAATAAAACCTATTTTTCGACGTATGTGTCATATCATAATGCGATTTAATCATATTAACCAAAGTGAGCAGTCAGGTTTAATAAAACCTATTTTTCGACGTTTGTGTCATATCATAGTGCGATTTAACCATATTAACCAAAGTGAGCAGACAGGTTTAATAAAACCTATTTTCCGACGTACGTGTCATATCATAATGCGATTTAACCATATTAACCAAAGTGAGCAGAGACAGGTTTAATAAAATCTATTTTCCGACGTACGTATCATATCATAATGCGAATAAAACGACGAAAAAAATTCCTCAAGTAGCCCCTTCTATGTTTTCGAACACAGAGCAGATGCTCTCGAACTGTGATCTCATGACCACTATACCACCGAGACAGTCGTGAAATGTATATTTTTAGCTAAGTAGAACTAACTCGCATTATTCATTCATTCAGTCATTCATTGCAGCCTATCAAAAGTCCACTGCTGAACATAAGCCTACCCCATATATTGCCCGACAGGGGTATTCTGCCATAGTTGCCACAATTGGCAGGTGGGTTGAAAACCACATCTTTTTATTATTATTTTTTTATATTTTATAGTACACTTAGTCGGGTGTTTTTCTCTGTAAAAGGTGTAAAAACCAGTGCCGAGGTGTACCAAAATACCGTCCTAACAAACATAGTGGAACCTCTTTCTCAAACAATGTTCAAACGGAGACATTGGATATTCCAACAGGACTCTGCACCAGCTCATAGGGCACGTAGCACGCATAACTGGTTGACCGCCCGTGGAATTAACTTTATCGGACATGAAGACTGGCCCTCTTCTAGTCCAGATTTAAACCCACTGGATTACAAGATATGGCAACATTTGGAGGAGGAAGTCTGCGCTAAACCTCATCAGAATTTGGAATCTCCGAGCATCTTTGGCTAAAGCAGCGGCAGGAATAGAAATGAGTGTGGTGCGTGCTGCGATTGATGATTGGCCGCGTCGATTAAGGGCATGTATTCAAAATAGGAGAGGGCATTTTGAATAATGTAAATAAAATTGTATTCTAAATTAAATTACCTTTCATTTCATATATAATTTCTATATATAATTATCAAAAAGTGTATCATTAATTTTATAAAAAGTTTTTGACAGAACTTATGACCTGAATAGGTATAGATAAAAGAGGTTCCATACTTGCGTTGCATATTTAACTTGTGGTCTGCTAAAGTGACAAGTGATTTAAAAAGTAGAAGAGGATTTTTTTAAACCAATTTGTTAAAGAATCTGTTATTTTTAGTTTTAATTAGTTTTTTTTTTTAAATTACTTTAACGCTAGTTTTAATCTTTATTAGTTTTTATTGGCACAATACTGTGTATCTTTTGTTCTGCAATCACTACTATTTGGCGGCAGAAATAGGTAACAGAGTGGTGTCTACCCAGACAAACTACTAGGCAGAAAAGTAATCCTACCACCCAAAATATACTTTGTAACTAATGACAGGGCTTAGATATTTATGTTTGCCACATTACTCAATATTTTTTAGTAAATTACAGAGATAAATACATAGTTGCAATAAAAAAATTTAGACAAACACTATTACACATTTGTATGTGTAGTTTTCTTCCAGAGAACGGACGCCACGCGAGCTACCTACTCAAGTGACTTCAAGTGAAGATGAAGGCCCTTGTTTCATAGACTCGGAGACACCAGTGGGTTGGATCAAAACCCTTTCCGAACAGAGTTCCCGTGGTATCATAACAAATTCAAGAAAAGACCTTCTCAATGATACCGCCATAGCAAGCGGAAGAAGCTCTGACAGCGAACAAAATGATGCTCAAGAGAACAAAGAACAGACTACAAAGAAGAAGAAGAAAAAGAAGCAAGACGATAGTAAACCAGTGAAGAAGGCACCGCCGAAGATTCCAGCTAATGTTAAAAAGGTGAGCTTTATGTTTTTGTGCTTTAGATTCTATTCTATGAGTTATAGATATATCACTTAGTTTTTTTTTTTATAGGATAAGGGTGACAAACGAGCACAGTCCACCTGATGGTAAGTGGTTGCTGCGGCCCATAGACATCTACATCTATTGTCGTTTGCGAATCAAAATGCAGATGCGTTGTCACCCGTGAGGACTAAGATGGAATGCCTCATTTCCAGTAAAAAGGGCCTCCGGCCACCTGCACTCACCAAGCGAAACGCAGAGGTAAACCTCTACTTCACGCTGGTATTCTGTGAGGTTGTGGTACCACTCCGGTTCGAGCCGGCCCATCCGTGCGACAGCAAAAGCTGCCGCGTGGCTCTACCACTGTTAGCATGTATCTCGAAATTTTATTTATTATTATCACCAATCATTAAGTTAATAGTTGAAGGTAGATGGAATAATTTTATTATTGTGAATCTTGATTTATCCTTTTTTTACAGATGTGGAAGATAATTTCTAGTAATGAATTCAATTCCCTCGAAACAATAATTGAGAGCTGGGAGGGTGATGATTTGGAAGCTGCTTGCAACACGCAAGACCCAGCCGACGGCAACACGGCTCTTCATAAAGCAGCTATCGCCGCCAAGCCCGAAATGGTCACGTAAGTTAGATAATTTGTTCTTCTAGGGGCAACCAGCAGAGGGTTAAGGCTTAAAAGACCACGACTTTTATGGTTCAAAGATCGTATTTAACGAGAAGAATTATTTCTCATATTTTTTTACTATTCTAAACCAATGCTTGACTACTGTTCCACCTGATGGTGTAAGGCTACAAACGCCTCTTCACTCTTGCTTTGAAAGCGCCCACATTGTAATCAAATAAAAGACAGATGCTGGTAACTTATTCCACTCCTTTTCTGTACGCATAACGAACAATGAAGCAAACCGTTTGGTTCGAAAGAGCTTTAAATCTACAATGAAATGGTGGAGACTGACCGAGCGTCCGGTTGTCCAATGGTGGAAGGGAGAAAACCGAAAGGCTGGCTACCTTGCGTCTGTGTTCGAGACTGGTGAGATTGGTATTAACTAGATTCGGGTCACCAGTAAGCTTCTTAGCACGTTTTTCCATTGAGTCGAGATCTATGCGAATCGCCTTCAAATCGTGACGCAGTAGGAACCGTAGAAGCCCCGGATTTCTTGACAGAAAACCCAATGACTAATTTTAGGCCAACCCGGGATTCGAACCCAGGAACGCATGATCAACAGACGCACTTATGACCACTAGAACAACGAGACAAACAACACAAAGACCAACAAAACAAAAAAGGTAAAAGAGAACCACAGAGTCTACCTAATTTTGTTTCCGTGACTGTGATCCACAGTCACCATTACCCTCAATTAAGGTGAAAGCTCCAGGGTGGCCCGCGAAATTCAAATTTTCTTGCGTTTTTTGGAATTTGCAGGTCAGGGTCAGGTTGAATGTTTAATAAAATACGATTCGCGACCGTAACGAGTATGTGTTTATAGAATTATTATCATTAAAATCACCAATACAACCCTCTACGTTCATATAATCCCTTTGAATGAGTTTTTCTGGAAATAGCCATACAATGGAATTATACGAACATAGTCGGTTGTATTGATGATTATAATTATTATAATCCTGTAAACACATACTCGTTATGGTCGCGGATCATATTTTGTTAAATATACAACCTGACCCTGACCTGCAAATTCCAAAAAACCGCAAGAAAATTTGAATTTCGCGGGCCACCCTGGAGCTTTCACCTTAAAGATCAATTGTATATAATTGATACAACTTGTATGATAATTGATGCATATTAAGTCATATATTTTTTTACTTAACAAAAATAACTTAATGCACCTACTAAAAGTAGCAAATTCAAATGCTATGACGAATTGTGCTGACTAACCAATTTCAAGGCATATTAACGCTTCATTGGAATTACGAATATACCAATTTTAAATTAAAAAATTGCAGACAAATCTTAACTGCGGGGGGTGATCCCTGTGTTAAGAACCACCTCCTGCAGACTCCATACGCTGCTTCCCCGCATCATGACACTAGGGTTGCGTTTAGACTTTTCCAGGCACAATATCCAGAAAAATACAATTATAATAAGGTATGTTTTACGATGAACTAAATTATATTTTGCCATTTTAGCTAAATTAATATAATCTTATATGTAAAAATTAATGTTTGTTTTTTTTTAATTTATGCGCTGCTATACTGTTCATCAAAACTTTTGTCAACTTATTGCTAGCACTTGCGCGAAGGTTATAGGCATATACAATTAACTTACAGTAGCTGGCGCGCGTATCTTTTAATTCGTAATTTATTTGAAAGTTATTTATCATTCATAGTAACATCATTCCTAACTAAATAACAATATAACTCTTCCAAGTTTAAAATAATATTTCCACAATTATACCGGTCGCCGGTTAATATAATTAGCGCCGGGTACCAGATAGCGATTAATAAAAAAGCAATTTTTAATCGTCTTCTTCGTCATCACCTCCTACTAGTCCCATGCTGCTGCTAGACTTAGACCCTCGTATTATAATGAATATGCCGAAACTGCCACACCCTAGCATTCGAATGAGTGACCGCTCAACCAGATTTTGCCTTTGACACTACTTCATACCAGCCAGTCTAGTTGTTTTATATCTGGCATAATTGAACCGGTTGCCGATTAACGAAGTGCGAGCAGGCCGAGCGGACATTTTTCGAAAAATTGTCTTATCATTTATTCGAATCTATCGCTTGATTGTGTCAAATAAGGACGTCTCAAAACATGTATATGCATCATGCCTTAGTGAACTGAATCAGCAGTGAGTTCGACAGCAGTGCCTTTATAGAATGCAAGCATGTTTAAAAAAATAATGTTTTCAAAATATTTATTTATGTTTAGTCACAAATACCGGGACCGCTAACCCCCGAGCTGCTGCAACAAGAGAAAGAGAAGAAGGCACAACAGAAGAGAGCGAAACGGCAACGGGACAAAGAGAAGCAAGCTGAGAAAATTAAAACCAACAAGTTCCTGCAGTTGACTGACGCGGAAAAGGTTTAATTTTCTTAAATTATTAAATATTCAACCTACTATTATTTTTTTCTTTTCATAAAGTTACAAATATATAACTATAGTGTTTGCGTTATAGCATGGTGTGGGTGCCACCTTACAGTTTAGCGTGTCTAGAGGTGTAACAATGTTAAATCGTTTTAAAAAGGCGATTAACGAACAATACACAAAGCAAAGCAAAAATTATCGATTAGCTATCGAAAAAAAAATTAAAACCGGTACATGTATTTCTTCATAAATTACAATACATGTCAATTTTAGTTACAGTTTAATACAAAATATGATATAGTTACATAATACTATGCATTAATTTTAAAATAAAAATCATCTTCTATTTTATGTTAATTTCAATATTTTATCTTGACATTAAAACAAAATGGCTGCCAGCACCAGTGATTTTCAGTATGGCGTTGACTGCACTTACAGCTTTTCAAGGTACGAGTGCTAGCCCCTTTCGCTATAAGGCTATATATGTGTATTGTGTATAATTTTTGCTAGCATCTATAGTAAAATTATTTTGTCCGTGCAGTCGGGGTCATAAATCATAGCTCGGCCTCAGCCGGCAGTTCGGCATGTTGCGCGAGCGCTAAGCCATTATCGATAACAACAAATTTAATTTTAGATATAAGTTTGTATCTTTATATTTATTTTAAACCATTATTATTCTTATTTTAATAAATACGTTGTTTTAGCGGTGCCAAGTTGACTGTCCGTATATCGAAGTGCTGAAATGTTTGTACAGTAAAGCTACGATGGCTATCCGAGTACAGAATCAGAGTACGATACCTATCCAACTGCAGAGAGGTGTAAGACAGGGTTACGTTATATCCCCGAAACTCTTCACCGCTGCATTGGAAGATGTTTTCAAGCTACTGGACTGGAAAGGATGCGGTATTAACATCAATGGCGAGTACATCACTCACCTTCGATTTGCCGACGATATAGTCCTTATGTCAAAATCGCTGGAGGACCTAAGCATTATGCTCAATGACCACAATAGTGTCTCCCAACAGATAGGTCTTAAGATGAACAAGGACAAAACAAAAATCATGTTTAACGTCCATGTTACACCTATGCCGGTAGTTGTTGGGAGCACTAAGCTCGAATTTGTTGACGAGTATGTTTACCTGGGATAAATAGTCCGACTAGGTAAGTCCAACTTCGACTGAGTGGTCAATCGACGGATTCAACTCGGCTGGGCAGCCTTCAGGAAACTACGACACATCTTCTCGTTAGACTTACCTCAAAACCTTATGTTTACGACTATGACTTACGGATCTGAGACGTGGTCCTTCACTGCTGGCCGTATGAGGAAGCTCAAGGTCGCTCAGCGAGCTATTGAGAGGGCTATGCTCGGGGTTTCTCTGCGTGATAAACTTAGAAATGAGGGTATCCGCAGTAGAACCAGAGTAACCGACATAGCCCAACGGATTAGTAAGCTGAAGTGGCAGTGGGCCGGCCATATAGCTCGAAGAACCGACAACCAATGGGGAAGAAAGGTTCTCGAGCGGCAGCCTCGTACCGGTAGGCGAAGTGTAGGGCGACCCCCACTAGATGGAGTGACGACCTGGTAAGACATGCAGGAAGTCGATGGATGCAGGTGGCTCAGGACTGTGCTTTGTGGCATTCCTTAGGGGAGGCCTATGTTCAGCAGTGGACTTATGAAAGGCTGTAATGATCATGATGATGTTGTTTTATCTACTTTTTTTTTAAATTTTTATCACTAATCCACATAATGAATAACTAAATATAATATCGATAACGCTTATCGACAGCCATAATGCGCATCACTATGCTTGTCCCTAAGGCCCGTGAGTGGGAGAGAGAGCGAAATACTTCGATGATTTATGACCCAAACTGCACGCACAAAATAATTCTAGTATAGCACTTTGTATGAAGTACTTATCGGCCGTTTTGTAATTTCCAGTTGGGTTAATATTAGTTTTACTTTTGTTAAGTTAATTTTTGCTATTTGTTGAGTTTGTTTATTTAAAATACCGAGACGAACAAAAACTTGTTTAGGGGAGTCCAGCGGGGGGTTTAGTTATTCGCGTTCGAGATTATTTTAAGCGAGTACAACAAAATGACAAAATAAATAAAAAATTATTAGGTCTTTACCTATGTAATTGTCGTTTTTTATGAAATAAATTACCGTAATTTTTTTTTCTATATTTTTTATTTCTATTAATCAAAGTAATCACCCATGTGATCGATGCATCTTTGCCAACGCAGTGGCAGTATATCTTAAAGAAATCAGCTAGACGGGAAGCAACTTATTCTTCAAAGGCATTTTGTACTGCCTCTCGGATATTAAATTTTTTTTTCCCGCTAAAAAGTTATCCAAATTCTGGAAAAAGTAGAATTCTGTAGGTGCATGGTCTGATGAGTATGGTTGATGACGGAGAGCCCCCAATCCCAGCTCTTGTAACTTGGAGACCGCAGTATGAGGTCCCGCGTTGTGGAGCAGCGGGGACGAGCGAATGACCAAAGCTGTGTGGAGACGCGCGAGGTTCTCCATAAATGTGTTGTTCTTCACAGTACACATGTGCAGTAATGCTCATCCCGTTTGGTAAGATGTGATGAATCACACCGTCGCTAGATCACCAAACAGTGACCATCACTTTTCTAGGGGTAAGTTTTCGTTTAGCGCATTGTTTAGGTTCTGAACCAGGATCCAGCCAATTTGCTAAGCGCTTGCGCGAGCGTGAGCGATTGTCAAACGGAGTCCATTTTTCGTCACAGGTAACAATGCGGTTCGAAATTCCTACGTTTGTGTGCCTGTTGAGCAGTGCAAGGCTCGTCTCGACGCGTACTTCGCGATGGCGATCATTGAGTTTCTGGGGCACCCATTTGTCAAGCGTTTTTTCTACGAAAATGGACCAATATTGTTTTGCTACTAACGTCGTAAGCTGCTGCTAATTCAGCTTCATTTCATTCATTCGTCATTGTGGACCAAAGTTTTCGGACGACTACGGGATTCATTTTTCAGGTCGAAATTTTCAGAACGGAAGCGGGCAAACCAATATAATACAAGTGGTGCGTTCGTTTGTAGTATTCGCTCCGTAAAAGTCGTTGATGTTGCGTGCCGCTTGTGCCACGTGTTGCTGCCACGACGGTACTCATATTCCATACTTACTGGATTTTTTAACGTATCCATGATGACGAAAAATATTCAAATGCAATGACAACATAACCACAGACTAACTAGTAGATTCTACCGAATCAGACGGACATCTCATGAACTAAACTTACTCGACTTAGCTTCTGCATCCTGATTGATTGTAGCGAAACGATATATGACATCTCTTTTTTTTTTTAATTTGAAGCAGCTATACGATGCAACGGACGTCCCAAATAATAGTCACTGGCAAAATTTATTTTATTATATTGAAAATAAAATGAGGTAAATACAAATAAAACAATGTTGAAATCTATTTAGTCACTTTATTTTTCAGCTTTTTCTTACACTGTAAGAGAGCTTTACCTTGCATTTCTGGCAGCTGCCTTCTTTCTAAGCGAACAATATCTACACCTTTTAAAAATTTTATTGATAATATTGCACCTGTTATTTATACCTTATTTTATTATAATCGATAAAAAGGCGTCTATTACTTCAGTCCTATGATTTCGGCATGTAATATGCTCAAAGCGATATTTACATAATATTGCAATAAGCAAACTTATTAAATAAATATAATTGCTTCTAGAATTAATGGATAAGAATCACCAGTTTCACCACTTTCGTTAGTCACTTCCTTTTCATATCCTTTATACAGGCTCTTTATTTTTAATAATTGTGCACTAACATCATCTTCACAATTAAAAGATGAGATGTGAAACTTAATGAATCCTGTAATTAATAAAAATTTAAATTATATGATCTTATTTGACCGAACAAAAGTTTGATTGCATCAGAATATATATAGCGGGGTCTCATAATCTTTATGTTTTTCTTGAACAAAAACTGCCACAATTTCATTAAAAAAATTATGGTACTTATCCAGTTCTTTATACTGGGCACTATACATTCATGACCATTTTTATTAATAAATTTTAAAATTTCTACTTTTAAAAAAGCTTGCTGCCAGAATGCATCGTGTCTACATTTTTCTGTAACAGCAGTTTTTAAATCTTTCTCTTCTATTTTATTTATCACCGCACTTCCATTCACACTGTCAAATAGGTCATCCATAAAAGATACTATTTCTGCAGTATTTTTCAGTATTTTTGCTCACTGGCCGCCCATCCGAATAATGAGCTGTAATAAATAGTTGAAATATTAAATGAAATATCATTAAGTATGTACAATATTTTTAAGTTACAGAAAAAGTTTGTTGTTTTTTTATAGAATTAAACGTGACAAGCAAGCACTCATTTCACTTGATAGTAAGTTAATTTTATTAGAAAGAAAAACTACTTTAGGTGAGATTTTTGAAGTTAATGTTAATCTAATAGTCATAACAGAATAAAAAAAATTGTAAAAATTAATTCAGTGTTATTTTCTTATAGGTAAAAATTTTGTCGTATCTTGCAAACCCACGCAAGTTAAGTTCTAGTGATCTGTCATCACCATGCTACAACGCAGACTATAAATGTAATTTAAACACTTCAAATAATTAAAAATTTTAATGTCTCAGGTAAAGCTCGACGAACCTCGCTGTTTCCTCTGCGGCACTCATCTCCCAAAGCAGCCATTCGAATACGACAAGTACAAATTTTGCAGCATACAATGCCTACAAAACCACAGGAACCTTCGACCTCTGCACATGAGTGCGTAACGCAAATTGAACTCTGGATGTATTAATTTAAAGATCATTATGTATAATTCATTATGTAACTATTTAAGATGCAATAATTGCAATCGAACTTGGTGTGTTGTGTTTATGGCTGGAATTCGATTTAAGGAGCTTACCATCACTTGTATTTCATTCATTCTTATTGTAAGCTTAAAAAAAATATAAGCTAGTGCTTGACCTGCTTGAGTACGATTCATATAGGTCAGCTTAAGCAGATTTAGAATTTTACACTGTGACATTTTTATTCTTTAAATTTAATAATTAATTTGCTATTTTCGTGTTATATTTAAATTGTTGTTTCAAGAACTTGTATAATGCCCTCATATATGCAATGCCTGAAAGACGCCATTAAGTTGTAAGTACATTTTTTTATAACATAAGGGTGACATACGAGCACACAGTCCACCTGATGGTAAGTGGTTGCTGTGGTCGATAGACATCTACATCTATCCTCGATTACGAATCAAAATTCAGATGCGTTGTCACCCGTGAGGACTAAGATGGAAAGCCTCGTTTCCAGTAAAAAGGGTAGTCGGTTCTCTGCACTCACCATACGAAACAGAGCAGCGTTACGCTGCTATTTTATTATTGTATTCAGTGAGAGCGTGGTCCTTCCCCGGTCGAGCTGACCCGTTCGTGCTACAACTATACCATTGATATAGCTGCAGCCTGGCTCTACCACGTAAAAAAACATAAGTATTGTTACTTTTCATTCATCTATTACAGCCTATAATAAAAGTCCACTGCTGAACATAGGCCTCCCTCATAGATTGCATCATGAGGAGATTTTGCCATAGTTGCCACGCTTGGCAAGCGGATTTGATACCGCACTTTTTTATTATTTTGAGTTGTTATCAGGAAGATGCTGCTACTCATCTCCTGTTTCATTTTCCCTCTGTCGCCTCTTACGACACCTTCGGGACGATAAGGGGTAGTGGATATTCTTACACCGCCACTACACGATTTTAAACCTTTATACGAATTAATCTATAGATCGTTGTTTGTAATACCTTTTATCGTTATTAGGATACTATTAACCCTTTCCCTGTCCCGTGCAGTACATATAGGTCATTGCTATTGTCTTACTATTGTGTCTGCAAACTGGACAGAAAGTGTTAAGACACGAATAACCACTTCCAAATTTTTGTTTTTCTGTCTGTCTGTCTGGGCTAATGTTTGCAATGGCTGAACCGATTGTGATGAAATTCACGAACAGATAGAAAGCAACGACAGGGTTGAAGTAGGTTATATTTTATACAAAAATTCAGAGATCTTTTGTAAAATTGATATACATAATAAATGTTCAAAGACGGTACATTAATGTATCTAACCCAGGCTTAGTCGGGGCGGGTTGCTGGTAGCGAAGAAATTATTGATTTGATTTGAAACTGGCACGTGCAAAAGTTTCCACAACGCATTACTTCGCACTGTAAACGTATTATGAAAAGTTTCTCTATCTCTCTTGCACAGAGCCAAGCTTGTGAGCTGAGACATGGACTATTATTGTACTGCTTTCGCTATCTATACGATATACAGTGCAGTGTGCTCAAATCGTTGCGTTTGTTCAAATCGTCCGCCCAATCGACCCGTGTTATTGTAATTCATTTATACTTGAGTTAGAATACGAAGTTGATAATTTCACCGATAGCCTTTTAATAAGAGAAGGATGTTCCTATAATAAGGACGTAGAAGAACAGGGATATATTATTGTAATGGCTTGTATTAAGAATACCCTTAATTGAAGAGCATGTATGCGTAGATTATTCGGATGTGAAAGAAGTATGAAAGGTGTGTCAGGATCACGCCAATTGGAAGTTCCTAGTCTCTGCCTACCCCAATAGGTAACAGGTATGATTTGATATGGCATAAAATAATTAATTTGAGATTCTGTATAAGAGTAATAATGTTACTAAATAAATATTACATTTTATTACATATACCCTGGTTTCTTTTTTCATATACATCCTCTTCAACTAACTGACAGATTAAAACAAAACATTTTGTTTATAGGATATGGTGACAAACGAACACACAGTCCACCTGATGGTACGTGGTTACTGTGACCCATAGACATCTACATCTATTCTCATTTGCGAATCAAAATGCAGATGCGTTTTCACCCGTGAGGACTAAGATGGAATGCCTCTTTTCCAGTAAAAAGGGTCTCCGGTTCTGTACACTCACCATACGAAACACAGCAGTGTTAAGCTGCTATTTTACGCTGGCATTCTGTGAGAACGTGGTCCTTCCCCGGTCGAGCCGACCCATTCGTCCTACATTTATACTACTAATATAGCTGCAGCATGGCTCTACCACGTATTAAATATGTTAAAAAATAAATGTTCCCTCGGTTTTAGAGCCTTGTGGAATATTTAGAGACGATGGCAAGAGACCCGACGGTATGACATTGGTCCCTTGGGAGAGAGGTAAAGCCCTAGTGTGGGATGCTACTTGCGTAGACACTCTGGCGGCCTCTCATCTCAGGGGTACCTCGTTTAAAGCCGGGGCGGCATCAGAGGCAGCTGAACTAAGTGACGCAAATATGAGTCTCTGAGAGATGACTACATATTTGTGCCATTTGCTGTAGAGACTATCGGTCCGTGGGGTCCACGTGCGGTGGAGTTCCTAAAGGAACTCCATCCGCGGCTGGTCGTTGCTGCTGGTGATAAGAGAGCTGGTTCTTTCCTCGCTCAAAGACTAAGTATAGCCATTCAGCGGGGAAACGCAGCCAGCGTTCTTGGCACGATACCGCGGGGAGTAGGACTATATGATAATTAAGTTTCTAGTTTTAGTATTTTTTTTTTAGTATTAAATTAATACTCCTTATTGAAAGTAATACTCTTTGTTGAAATTAATACTCCTTATTGAAATTAATACTCCTTATTGAAATTAATACTCCTTATTGAATATAATACTCCTTATTGAAATTAATACTCCTTATTGAAATTAATACTGCTTATTGAAATTAATACTCCTTATTGAAATTAATACTCCTTATTGAAATTAATACTCCTTATTGAATATAATACTCCTTATTGAAATTAATACTCCTTACCGAAATAAATACTCCTTATTTTTAATTTCAATTAATACTCCTTATTTTTCGACGTATGAATTCGTTTCAAATTTCATCACATTTTTAATCCACTGCCGTCTTAAACAACGAAGTTAGTACCTATAGGTATAGCGATCTCAAGAAAGTTCAGTTGTCACCGCAACCTTCAGATAACCTTTGTTGTGTTCAAAACGTCTCGTTTATAAGTTATACTACACGGAGTAGGACTGTATGATTATTTTACTTTTTTTTCTAATTTTAATAAATGATCATTATCACAACCTTCATAAGCACGCTGGTGAACATAGGCCTCCCTCACGGAATGCCATAAAACATGATCTTGAGTTACCTGCAACATAATTGAGCCTAAATGCCTATATTAAATACCTAAATAGTTTTGCCTTCCTACATAGCCTACCAGGTTATTACTTCATCTAGTTTGAAGTCGCGCTACATTTCGCTTACGGGTACAAGCCACTCGAGAATCTTTCTTTTTATTTAACGTTATATGGCCAGCCCATTGCCACTTCAGCTTATAGATCGGTTACGCCATGTTAGTTACACCAGTTCTACTGCGGAAATCTTCATATCGGATCAGGGGCGTAGCTACCGGCGTATCAGCCGTATCAATGATACGGGGCCCCCGGGCTACAGAGACCCCGAACGTATGTAAGCAAAAACTATGGACTTCTATGGGTCAGGATGTTGGTTTGAATTGTTTGGCTAGCTTAGTTCCCAGGAGTATTAATTGTAAGTAATAACTTATAATCAATATATAATTATGTTAATTCAATGCGAGAGTTTTTGTTCCTTTTGTGAAAAATCTTTACCCTTCATTTGTGCCCCCGACAAATTTTGATACAGGGCCCCACTAAGGCACGCTACTCCACTGGATCGGATTCTATCACGCAGATAAACTATGAGCTATCTATAGCACTGGAAAAATGCACTGGTAATACATTTTTTTTATTTTTTGAGATATACGTGACGAGAATAGTATATAATCTCCTAAACGCTGCCCAGCCTACTTGTTTCCGTCGATTTACCTCTCGGTCAAAGTTCGTTCTTAATAAGAAAATGTATCCTAGAAGGTAGCTACATACAATATTTGTCAACAACTTCGATCGTTGTGTTACCAACAGCTAACGGCGCAGCTGTGGCAGAGAAGTTACGCACGGCCTTTGTCTTGCCCGTGTTCGTCTTAGGACCTTTGTTAGGTGACACTATTGGGATCATTGAGCATATTGCTATGTCCTGTAGCAATTCACCATACTAACTACATCATCAGCTAATCGAAGTATATTCTTGTACTCACCTTAATGTCGTAGTTTGTATGTATGTTTGCAGTTTCCTGTAGCTTGAAAACGTCTTCCAATGCAGCTGTGAAGAGTTTCGGTGATATAATGTCTCCCTGTCTTACACCTTTCTGCAGTTGGATAGGTTTCGTACTCTGATTCTGTAATCGGATAGGCATTATATGGCTATGTAAATAAATTACATAAAAGTTTTAAAATAAATATATTTTTTCCTATTAATATTATTTTAATGTAACATTTTATTTTTATTAACTTTAGCCAGCCTACCCAAATTGAAATCCTGGATCCATTCTTGCAAGGCATTTAGTGCCTGCCAAGCGTGTGATTATATTTACGGGGTGATTAAAAGGAGTTTAAAAAACATACTTTTGGAGTTCAACCGAAAACCTTCAGCTGGTGAAACTACTGTTTTGAATTTATATTCTGCACTGATCGGTCGCCAGCCTTGCTATATGCCAACAGGTGAGGTTGTCATTAGGAGAAAACATGACGTATTACCTTAAAACCCGCCTACCCAGCATCGTAAGTACAGGCAAACCTTCGAAGTTCTGCAGGCCAGCCAGACGCATTTTGAGAAAGGCCATTTTCGGACAGTGTTAAAACGCTAAATC